GCTTTTTCGAAACGAACACCCGAATTGCGAGTTGTCAAACCATTTTTAAACGAAAGGGCAACCAACGCAGTTTCAAAATTTGTATATTTCGAAGGGGGCACTCGCGGGACTTGGGCTCCAGAAAAATAATAAGATTAAAACTATTAGATATTTATGAGTTTAGAGGCGAATTGGCTACGTGGTATACTTAGAAAATATTTTTCGAAACGAACACCCGAATTGCGAGTTGTCAAACCATTTTTAAACGAAAGGGCAACCAACGGAGATTCAAAATTTGTATATTTCGAAGGGGGCACTCGGGGGACTTGGGCTCCAGAAAAATAATAAGATTGCAACTATGTGATTTTTATGAGTACATCTTGATCATTTATTAGAAAATTTAACCTTATATTGGATTATACATTAAATTTATACAATATTATTTTAAAAATTTAAAGTACCTACGTAAGAGTTAAGAACACGGTATTATTCAATGAAAAGCAAATAAAGATATTTGTTTCTATGTATTATGCAGTTATATACCTGTTTAAATATAAACTCAATGATGATTATAGGTACTCTGCCCATTTCTGGTTAATATGCTTAAATTCATATTTAATGGTTAAATAATTTAACAGATACAAATATACAATATTCTATAAGACTATAACTTTATACATTTATTCATTGTAATTTAAAATATCAATTAAATTATGTACATAGAATTATAGAAAAATATTAAAATACATAAATAGCATTACAAAATGAAATTTATTCATTTTATATAAACAAATATATTTTAGCCTTTAATAGTTTAATTATTAGTTTTCATTTTAATACTAACTAATCCTTAAGTTTATATTTACAATATGTAATTATAACTTTTACACGGTCCAATAAATATGTATGCTGTATATCTTTTTAATTTCTAAATTAGAAACAATATTTAATTACAAATTGTGTATTCTTTATTTTTAACATCAAAACTATTAACATTAAAAATAAAACAAAACAATTATAATTTAAGACTTATGTTTATGTATCACCTCTAAATAAATATATAGATTTTAGTTATAAGTTTATGTAGGTATATATAATTATAATACAATTAATCTCAATTGGCATAGTAGCCTGTTGGTACATAATAATAATATAATATAGGCTATTGCTGATAACATACAACTACGAAATACAATTATAAATATAAATAAATATACATATAGTTGTTTTTCTTATGCATTATATTACAAATTTGTTTTGACATTAGAAAGAGTAAAACTGGAAACCATGTAGGTATAAAATATTCAAAATGTAATACGTTAAAAAAATTAAAATATTATATAATATAAAAAAAATTGTAAAATTGAATTGGGGAGAACGTGAGCGAACGTGAACGTTTCCCTCACGTTTCCAAAAAATTATTAAAAAAAAAGGTTTACAAAATTTGTGTAGGTAGGTAAATAATTGAAAAAATTTAAAAATTAATTAAAAATATTGGTAATTGCATTAAGTAAAATTTAGCGATTCCTGGAAAAAAGAAACAAATAGATTAAAATCTTAGGTTAAGAACTTTATTTTTATACATCCTTAACTAATATTATATTTAAATATCTTTTTTACGCCATCACACCTATTTTGAGCCCTTAAATGTCAGGTTTTGCACAGACGAAAAGTTTTATCGGAGCTCGTAAGTCATTAGTCTCGATCTTACGAGTATCACTATGCCGACTAGGGAATCGCGTTATTGGTTTGACGCCTTATCGGTTGTAATATTATCTATGTTTGGTATGTTTTAGACTTTTAGGTATTGATTTGGGAACGTTTAGTACCTACTGCAGTTGCGAATTTGTAAACGGATCGCTATGTAAGCCCGTGTATGTGTTAGTGTTTGGTTTTTAATTTTAATTAAATTTTCAAAAGTAAAAATGTAAAGTGCCTGCCTACGGATTACGGAAAGTTGTTAAGACACATAATTGCTTTTATATTGTGAACTTCTTAGTTGTATTATATTTTCCTATTATCTGAAATTGTTGATGACATATTAAGAGCTTATATAGGATAAGTTTCATAGCATATTTTTGAGAAAAACGTATTTAATGATTACTGCATTATATAAATTAGAATAAACTATAAGTACATAAATTCAAAGTAAATTATAGAAATACATTCCGTATTTTTAATAGGTACATTATTTTTGTATTTTAATGATGGAATATGTAGTATCAATTTTATACCTATATGTATAATATATTAATATTAGTCGTTTTTAATATTAAAGAAATTTTACCTATTATCTCGTTGGTTATTAGTTAGGTAGTTATAAATGTATGCAATATAAAAACGTGAAAATACCGATATGCTATAATTCGCTTTTATAGTTGAATTAATAAAAACTGAATAATTTACCCTAATATTTCAAAAACCACAAAACTGTGTTGGAAAATATTAAATACGTGGAACATCAATTTAGGACGTTTAAAAGAGAAATAATAATTCGTTTAGTATATCCTAATTGATATATGGTTTCATTTTACAAAACGTAAGATTATAGTAAATTAAATCGCACATTAAAATAAATTACAAATGGGAATATAAATATTAATTAAATAACGTGCCTACCTCTGACATATTTTAAACGTCGTCAATGGTACTCATAATTATTGCACAGGTTAAATTATAAAAATAGAATAAAAGCACAAACATTATTTTTATTAATGCTATTTGTTATTTTCATAATAATTATTTTATATAACAAATTATACATTCATTGCTTTTATTAATTATTATTAATAAATTATATTTATTGATATCATATTTTATTTTATTACAAAGTTGTTTGTTTTTCGTTTATTGATTTAAAAAAAATGTGTTCCTGACGTTTCTGTCATAATATTAGAAAACTGCAGTGGTGCATAGAATAAAATATTATGTAAAGCTAATAGGTAAGGTTTCATAACGTATTAAGGATTACTAGTTACTACACAATATAAATTAGAATAAACTGTAAGTAGGTACATACAATCAAAGTTAATTATGTAATACAGAAATACATTGTGTATTTCCAATACATATCAAAAACCACAAAAGTGTATTAGAAAATACACGGAACATCAATTTAGGACGTGTAAAATAGAGATAATAATTCGTTTAGCACCCTAATTGATATACAGGCATACAGCTTCATTTTTCGAAACTTACAACACATTAACCTATGATGTATTATAAACGTCGACAATTTTTTTTTTTGGGGGGGGGGGGTGGTTAGATCTTAAATACAGTATGGTTAAATAAGCGGCTTTTTGAACCAAAAAAGACAAATTTTAAACATGTTAAAAAACGTTTGAAACGCTGTTTTAACGCTATTTCAACAAAAATGTATTAAACATATTGTCGTATATTGTAGACAGTCGTCAAAATATTATTTCATATATATAATAGAGGTGGGAACATTTTAAATTGTAAACTATTGACATAGGTCAGTGAAGCATATGTGCTGAGACAGCGATAAGATTACTATATAACACCGCCGCACTCGCAGGCACGGGGGAGTCCCGTTGTCGCTGAGTGAATCGGCGAGGACGTAGGTACTGTGGTCGTACGTGTGAAACGTCGATCGTAGTACGGGCTAGGCAATCCGGATTTGCTAAGTGTTTAATTTATGTTTGTTTTAATATAATAAAAGTGTTTCCGACCTAAAAACCCGAGTTGAGTTTTATTTCAAAGTCTTCTTCGTTCTTACCTTTAATATTGGAACAGTGCTCAGACCCACACACCTATAGTCAATGAGGTTTATTACAAACTGAACAGTGCTCTGGTTGTGGCGTCCTAATAGTCATTCCAATTTAGGAAACGAACGAAGAACTGACAAAACGCTACCATCGTACCTCAAAGGTTAACAGTGCTAATCTGAATTTATTCTAGAGACAGTCATTAGCCTAGAGCGTACGAGGGTAAGGTAAAAAGTTGGTTTACCGCGTATTATTCAATACGGGTGATACCACAGAGTGGCGCCCAACGGGGTTACTTACCTACGGTCGGAGACATTTTTTTTGATTTTGTGCCCTGGTACCTCAACCTTGGCAAGTTTAATTTTTTTGAAAGTGTTTACGTACGAGAAGTACAACAGTTTTTTACGTGTAGTCTGGGAGAGATTCCCTTGACACACCATTTTTTTTTTGGTACAAGTGAAGTACAACAATTGTGCACGTTTCGGATAGTAAAACCCGGAGCGAGTTTAGTGATTTTTTCCGTTAAAGTAAAATATACCTTTTGTGTTTTGGGTGCAGTGTAAACCCAGAACGCAATTTTTGTGCGTGTGTATACCGAGTGAGTAACACATACGCGTTCGATTTTTGTCTGACCGACAAGACAGCAGTTTTGTGCCGCGTGGTACAATTTTTGCAACCGTGCGTCTACAAGTATACGCCAAGGTGAGCAACGTTTTGTAATATACTTAATACCTATTTTAGGATTATAGATTAGATTTTTCTTAAAACAATTTAAATAGAATTTTAGTTCGATTTTAAATAACCGCAAAATTTTAATTTAAGTTTTAAACAAGTAGATTAGGTTTTTTTAAAGAAACTATTTAAATAGGATATTTTTTTTTTTAGTTCAATTTTTTTCTCTCTATTACTCCCCTTTTTCTTTTCAAAATTTTTATACGATATAATTATAACCTCAAAAATATTTTAATTTAAGTAATATACTTACGTATTAATATTAGGATTGTAGATTAGTTTCTTAAATTTAAATAGGATTTTTTTTTTAATTCAATAACATAGTAATATAATTAATCTAGTAGTATTTTTTTTTTTTTGGTCAAACACTCCCAATAAATTTTTCTTATATAATAAAATTAATAAAACCTCTTAATAATTTAAATTTGTAGGGATTTTAACAATAGTATAAAGTAGGTATATATTTTTAGTTAATTGTAGATAAACATAATTAAAAACCGTTAAAATTTCCTAGTATAGATTTAGGATTATTTTAATTAATTTCTCAAATTTTATAAATTAATGAATCAACTTAAAGACCCTAAATCGGATCTTTCTATAACAATAAATACTGCAACAGAAATCTATACTCTCAAAAAACCATTTCTTATTAAATATTGCGAAAATAAAAAATTAAAACCAACAGGTACAACTAGTGAATTAAGAGCTAGACTTAGTAGATACTTAAAAGGTACCATAACATTAGACGACATAGATAACACATTAAGCAAAGAAGAATGCGATTTAATTTTAATCAAAGCAAAAACTAATAAAATCGATTTTAAAAAATTAGAAAAAGAAGCAGGAATATTCGATTCGAGCGATTCGAGCACAAACACAAATACAAATAATAAATTAACTTCAGACAGCTTTTCAGAAATATCAAAAGATAATTTAAAATTATACGATAATCTTAATGCCAGTACAAGCTCATTTGTGAATAACACCAAAAATATTCTAGAAAATTCAGATATAACTTACCAAAATTGTCAAAAAGAAAGTTCTGATACTTATGAAAATATATTAAAAAATCTTAAGATTAATGATACTTCTAATAATATTTATGAGGAATTAAAATTAAATACTTAACCAGAAAATAGTGAGATTATTGAAAATAAATTAATAAATTTTAATAATTCAACAACTATTGATTCTAATAACACAAGGGAACAACCAAAATTCAAAAACGAAAATACAGCAATAAATAATCAAAAAGGAGATAACGTAAACTCTGAAATTCATTCTACTCCATTAAACAAACAAACACAGAAAATGACAGAAAAAATTCTAATGATTAGACCAGACCAGTTCTCAGGTAATGAGGACGTAAGAAAATATTTCAAGCAATACGAAAAAGCAGCAGATGTAAACGGTTGGAAGGACGAAGATAAAGTAAGATTTTTATCGATATTCGTAAAAGGTACAGCAAGTATATTTTTGGAAAATTTGGAAGACAAACAAAATAATTGGACATGGAATAATTTGAAACAGGAGTTTCTCGACGAATTTCAACCAATGGGTTACAATACAATTTTAAAAACTAGATTAGAAAATAGACGTCAAGGAGATACAGAGTCTATAATGAGTTTTGTAACAGAAATAGAAAATATATGTAGACAACTAAATAAAAATATGCAGGAAGAAGAAATTTGCACTTATATTTTAAAGGGATTAAAAGAGACAGTCTTACATGCGATTTCATTACACGACAATAGCAACCTAAAGGAACTAAAGAAAAATTTAAAAAAATTTGAATTGATGCAATTTCGAATTAATAACAGAGGACCAGAATTAAGTGATTATACAGAAATGCTTAATGAACATGTATCTCAACTAAACCAAAAAACAAAAGAAAAAGGAAGAGAAATCGATGAACTAAAAAGACAGTTAATAGAAAGAGATAGAGAATACAAAAAGGAGATGAACCAGTTACGGGAAAATATTCAACAAATCAACATTACAGGAAGAAGAAATAAATCGGTAAACTTCGATGATGAAGAAATAGATAATCGATATAATAATAAAAATTATAATTATAATGAAGATAGGAGCAGAAGTTATAATAGAGAAACAAATTACCGAGGACGACAACGTGAATACAGAGACCAAAGTCCATATCCAGGAAGAACAGATCACGAAGGCAGGAACAATTATAGGGAAAAAAGTCCTTATTCCGATAGGTACAACAACTATAAGCTCAGAGAAAGCAGTAGAGATAGATACAATAACAATAAATATAGAAATAACAGTAGAGAAATGAGCAATAATAGAGATAGGTCTAACTCAAGAAATAGGGAAAACTCCTACGACAGATCCAGAGATAGAGATAGTTATAAGAACAGAAATCGTGAAAATGACATAAGTAGGAAACAGCACAGTAGGGAAAACAGCAGAGAAAGATATTCAAAATCCACGACGCCGGAAGGATTTAACAGAAGAGAAAAAATAACTTGCTACAAATGCAATAATAAAGGACACTATGCTAGCGATTGCAATTTTTCAAAAAACGAATAGCACCCGAGCAAAGAGAAAAATCGGAATATCTTACTCGGGGAACAAATAATATTTATACAAAAGCCGACAACTCAAAATTTAACAAAGAAAAGCAGACTGAGAAAAATAATTATATACATTTTGTAGAAAATTGGTACAAATCAACAAATTCAAATAAATTAATAACTAATGAAATAAACGACGATGACGAAAAATCTATAGAAAACATCGTAACAATAAGTAGTTTGAACCCATTAAATGAATTCCAAAAATTCCTACTCAGCAATAACGATAGAACCGACTTCCTATGCGATTACAGTGAACAGACGGTAAATATTTTTTCTTTACCAAATGATATCGCAATCGGCCATTGCACAAGCCAATGCCTCACCATGTCGAAGGGGATCGCATTACAATTTAGAAATAAATTTAACAACGTTCAAAATTTAATAGACCAAGAAAAAAAACCGACCGAAATTGCTTATTTGAAAAACGGAAGACAATGGATTCTATACCTCATAACAAAAAATAAATATTACGACAAACCAGCATACACTAACATTTTTAGCACATTAACTAATACTAGGCAATTTTGTATAGCAAATAATATTACTACCTTAGCACTACCCAAAATTTGCACTGGACAAGACAAAAAGGATTGGAACGTTATTTCTACCATGATTAAGTTTATTTTTCAAGACACGCAAATAAAAATTTTAATATGCCTACTGCCGAGCAACGACAATGAAAATAAATATTATAAAAACAATGATTCCCAAACTACTAATATTACGATAGGTAAAAATTTTAATAACACGATCAGTGATAGTTTAAAGAACGAAATCGCACTAATAGCTGGCTCATTCATAAAAACGAAAGACGTACCCGGAGACGGTGATTGTGGTGCCCACGCACTACGAATATGCTTGAAACAACATGGTATATATAGAAAGACGGTAGAATTATTAAATATGCTCGGCATTCCTAATTGCAAATCTGGCTACTATTTTAAAAATGACGATCTAGCATTTATCTGTGACCAATTTAATTTAAATTTATATTTAATACACGAAGATTCCGAACATACAAATGCCATAATATACTGGAAATCAAATAGGAAAAGTATAGGGATATTCGAAAAAGATTATAATTGGACACCAGGAATTATCACAAAAATATATAAACCACTTCAATTCAATAAAATAATAATAAACACAGTTTTTCCCGACTTTAATACTGTAGAAAAAAATGTAGACCATTTCTTATACGAATGTTTCGATCGCTTAAAATTATCACAACAAAACACAATAGAAAAAAATAAAACCGGCAACAATTTTAAAACTGACAAATCAACAATATGGTACTCACAATTTTGCCAAGACTGCGAATATTTGTCCACAACCAAGGATGTACTAGACGACCACGATGACAAAGAAGAGTATTGGAGTGAGGGGGGAAACGTTATGTTTTGTGAAATATGCGGAAACTACATAAGAGAATATCGGAATCGGCCCATAAAAGAAGACGAGAAAGCCATAGAAACCAAAAATCAGCTAATTCAACACAAAAACGAAATTAAAATCAAAAATCAAAATACAAGCGTAGATTCAGACACAGACCGGAAACAAAGAGTGCTGTCCATAAAAATAAAACTAGACGGCAACGAACAAAATGCAATAATAGACACAGGCTCAAATCTATCATGTATAGATTATTCCCTAGTTAAAAATAAACAAGAAATTAAACCCAAAGAACAAATAAAAATAACAGGCGCAGATAATAATGAACTAATACAAAAAGGAACAACAGAAGTAACAATTACAATCAATACACTCAAATATAAAATCAAAGTATACGTCATTGAAGGACTAAGTTGTAAACTACTATTAGGAAACGATTTTAATATCAAATACAACATAATAATCAATTTTAAAAATAAAAATATAAAAATCGAAAACAATTCTATAAATATGGACGAAATATGGTACGAACACAATAGAAGTCATAACATAAATATTTTTGCTACTGGAAGCATTATGTGTAAAAATCAAAATAATGAAACTGAAATAAAAGACGATCAAGGCACAATAATAAACATTTCCAAGGAGCTAAATATTGATCAACGCGTAAAAGCATGTAAATTGATAAAAAGGTTTAAACATTTATTTACATCCGACCCATTAAACATAGGGTGTGCAAATGTGGAGCCCTGCGAAATAAACTTAAAATCCGACAAACCCATATTCCAGCCACCATACAGAACACCCCCAATTCAAAGAGAAAAACTGAAGAAATTAATCAATAAAATGATAAAAGCCGACATTATCGAACCAAGCCGAAGTAATTACGCGGCACCAGTATTTTTAATTCCGAAAAAGGAAAAAGGCGAATACAGATTTCTAGTAGATTATAGGAAATTAAACAATGAAACAATTAGTGACAAACACCCTATACCTAGGTCACAAGACCTTTTTAGAAGCTTAAAGGGAGCAAAATACTACAGTACCACACATATTAATACTTAAAATATGTATTTTAATCGTTTAAAACAAAATCAATAAGGTTTTTTTTATATTTAAACGTGTTTTCAACATAACAATCCTGGGTGCATCATGCGTAGGTAGCGTAAACTATTATATTATCATTGCGGATTACGAATGGTTCATTGAAGTTTACATAATGTAAAATAAATAATCATTTTAAATCATTTGTCTAGGTACTTACACTTGTTAGGGCAGTACTGCCGTGTATGGCCAAATGCCTTGCAATTATGGCACATAATTGTTGGCCGTCCACGTGCCCATCCACGTGCGCGTCCACGCGTATAATTTGCGTTACTCCACGATGGTCCTGGCGCGGGTTGTGGGTTTGCACTTTGTGTGGCCATTTGTACTATATTATAATAATAATATAACATTTTTATTTTGTAGCTAAATGTTATTACTCATACAATTAAGTTTTAAAATATTTCAATGGTGAAACTAACCAACTGATACGATGGATGTTACGGTGTGCCCTAACGCGTCTAGAGCGTTTGTATAAACTGCAGTCGTGGACGGTGTGGACGAGTGTTCACCATAATATCCGCCACGTCCACCACGTCCGTGGAAATATCCGCCACGCATCAGCTCTCCGCGACCACGTACCAGCTGGCCACGACCACGTACAATCCCGCCTTGGCCAGGATTATAATTTTCAGGTGAAGGCCGGTGATGAATTCTGCCTCTGGGCCATTTTCCCACATGCATTGTTTGCGTGGGCCTACAACATTTTATAAATGAGCAAAAATTAATACTTAATAACATTTTGTTGTAAAATATATTTCATAATTACTACATTTACATAGGTAAATAAATGTAATTTAATGATAAACTTACATAGTTGGGTTGCACACCACTATTTTGTACGGCTGCGGTACATTGTCAGCCAACTTTGACCTTACCAAAGACGTGAATGCGGCATAGTGAATCATTTCAGACTTTGGAAATGCCCAAATGAATGAACCAAGGCCCATCGCCACTGTGTCATTAATTTGGGCTTCCAAAGTCTGAAAAAATTTCGCATCATCGCCCTGTATTGTCCATATGATGAAGGTGTCACTGACTCGGACGACCTGTCCTAGGCGCACCGTCGCCCACAACCTGTAAAAATATACATTGAAGTAAAATACAATTTAACTACACATTGAACGTTTTGTATATTGATATAAATTTAAATATAAAAACAATGAAATTACTCTGGCGTTAAAAGTTGATTTATTAAACATTTTTGGAATAACGTGTTTGTTGACGCGCACGTTATTTCCACGGGTAGAATTTTGACTGTGGAACTCGTTGAAACATCAAAAAAATTTATTCGTTTCTCCTCTATTGAGGCCACATGGTGAGATGGTATCTGAAACTACAAAAGTTACATATTATTTTAATATTTTATACATTGCAGTAGGTATAATATGTATATAAATGGTTTAATGGTTAATAAAAATAAAATCTTACGTTTTCGGGATCGCATACAGTGACTTTTAACAGCAGCTGGTCATCACTACCGTCAAATGTCGTCTTCAATAAGCTATGGACCTGGTACCAATTGAGTCGGTCTAAGGTACAGCCCAGTTTCGGGATAATTAAATAATGAATTGACAATTCTTTCAATCTATCCCTTAACTGGACCAATGTGGACGCTAGGGACTGGAGAGTTGGTTTCTGGTGGTGTAAGACTTTAGTCACCAGGTAAAAAATATAAAAATAATTTTCGTGGTCAACCTTCAGTTCTGCCACCCCACCTACTCTGACCCTTTGGTCTAGGAGAACGCTAACTTGACCATAGTTCAGCCTGTAACATAAATCAACTTAAGTATATATTACATGAAACAATGAAAATAAGTATTCAGACAACATATTTTTAAATTTTAACTTCTAAATATACATTTTTAACTGTTTAGTACAGTGTTTCTTAACCTTTTTTAAGTAACCGCCCCCTTGAGTGACAATCAATTTCTTTACGCCCCCTCCTATGTGAGAATTCTAAAATTAAGGGTATGGCGAGAGAGATCGGAAAGGAGTTGATGATTTGCCTGAGACAGATTGTGCCTTCAGAAACTTATCCCTTGTGAAAAACGACAAATATTTTTACGGTATTCGGAATACTTTTTTTCTTATATAGGTATACTCATATATATTACTAATTATTTGTTATTGCTTATTAACTATATTAATTTGAATATAGTTTATAATAGACAGCCAGATAGGTGTGTATTGTCGAGATTATAATGGTGGTAGTGTTATATTTATAATAGTGTTCATTTAATAAACATAAAATTGAAAAAATAATATTTTGCTATTGAAATCTAAATCTTCTAAAAAAAAGTATTCGAAAAATATTTGGAATACTTTTTGTGAAGTATTACAAATACTTAAGAATATTATTATTCTAAAGTATTCGAATACATATTCTGAATACTTTTTTTTAAGTATTTGAAATACTTTTAATAAGTATTTTACCCAAATCTACATTTTTGGAAAATAACATTTTACGAAACGAAAATATTTAAAAAAAAACACGTTTTTAACGACTGAATATTATAATAAGGACAACTAATACATCATGCTCGGTTCGAACTTCGAATCAAACGGTGTACTAAAAGGTTGGTTCATATAGGTACCTATAATTTAGTACGTTATTTATATTTTTGAAAAATGACTGTAATAGATATGAAAAATGTATATTAAACTTAGTATAATTACTTAAACTGCGCCGCAACACCTCTACTCATTTGGAAATCTTCCGACACGCAATGCGCCACGGCGAAAGTCCCTGCAGACGTGATCGCATTTATTTCTTCGAAAATGGTGTTGGATGACAATACGATTTCAGCCATGCTGCAACATTTATAGTAACATAAATTACCAATACCATGGAAACACTTATACATTCAGTAATACAATCATGTATGATGTATGTATATTGTTTTTTGTAAGGAAAAAGTGGTGCAGGGCATTCGTGCTTGAAAAATCACCAGTAGTTATATACAGTGCCGCTGAACTTCAAAAAATGTATTACAAAACCACTTATTGGCCACAAAAACTTGCAGCATTTCTTTTTTTTTACTTAATATATTACACGTAATTTTATTTAGTCATATTTTAAAAATTGGAGCCGTGGATCCGTGACCTTGGTCAAGAAATACAATTTTTTAAATGTTTTAATTTTAAATTTTAAATGTCTTATAAAATATTAGTAATGTAAAATTTCGAAATACTTACATGTATACCTAATATTTTATGTTTATAGGTGCAGGTAAAAAAAATGACAGAATATTCACTATATGTAACTGTGTAGAAACTAAAAGTCAAGAGTCTAAAGGCGTTCAACTATCTGTTGTACGTCCTTTTATAGACTTTGACTTGATCACTCCCTCCTCTCATTGTATTGAGGTAGGTGTACGTGGAGTGGCTGTCAGACAGCTCATTGGTCGACAGTCGGCACAGAATATCAGATATAATTATATAAATTATTATATTTCATTTCGATACGAATAACTGCGAGATTGGACAACGGCTGGATATATGTGTTATCGTGACATAGATTCTTTAAATTTTCACAAAATGTTTATATGGTCATTTTTTGTACATAATAAAATGTTCTAAATGTTTCGACTCTTTTGAGCATTTATAGGCCTAAGAAGTTGTTGATATTTTTGTTTTTTTTTAAGTATTCCCGCCGATGAATACATTTTTGCTCGGTTGAAAAACTCTAAAATGTAATACAAGATTCCTTATAAGTTGTTATTTGTGTATTTTAAAGAAGAATCTTATAATATTATAAATTCACAATATTTTTTCAAAAATCACAAACATTTGCATATTATTTTGAGTTGGAAATTTATAACAACCTTATATTAAAATATTGGTGATCTCCCCAAAATAACAACTTCAACACGACAACACTCCGCTGCCTGGGACAGCCCACCATCACTAAAAACTAAAATATATCGAAGGTCATTGACACCTACGTCTCACACCTATGCGTATGATATTCGGGGTTCCAATATTATTTTTTGAACACGGAGAAATAATTTAGGTACCGACAATTATTATTTACGATAACGAACGAGCACCCAAAAGACGCAATAATTCTAATTATTTCGTCTTTCTTCACTATAATTAATATTATTGCACTCAACCCACCACAAACATAAGTTTGAAACACTTGCAGGGTTTAAGAATGTTCAGGTTTAATTGTTTAACCTATAACAATACAAAGAATATATCGCATTGAAATAGAATATTTGACTGTGTACAGTTCCGCAACTATATTAACGCCCGTGTGCAACATTTGTTTGGAGGCCCCAAATTAATATTATAATTTTTTACTTGATTTTTGTATTACTACAGCAATATTAATCAGTACTTACTTTTTTCGTGTTGTATGCAATTATTTATGATGTTATATGTAAACCATACTAATTAGACAAGAAAGTGAAGAAGTTATAACCATATTATTAAACAGTGGCGTCCGCAGGGGGGAGGCTAACGGGCTGAAGCCCCCCCCCTGACCTTATTATTATTACTTTTTCAAAAAAATATTAATCAAGTTTAAACTGTCAACTATATAGTAAATCTCATATATGTCTTACCAGGATGAATTCATTTTTGAAAAAATATTGTATTTGCATACCAATTTTCATAAATTATCTGTAATTTTTCGGTAAAAGTTTGAACTACTTGTATGAAAGACCTTGTATTGTCTAGCCTTAGATATCTATACATATTTTATATTTTATAAGTTTTGAACTACAAATTAACCGTGATTTTGACGAAATTTGAACTTTAAATGCTTATAAAAAATAACCATGATGCCTATGTATTGTTAATATTTTAGCTATAATAAAAAGAACTTACGTATTACATTTTTAAGCTTTTTGACCGGATAAATAATTTTTTATTGACATTTATAGTAAAAAAATTTTTATTATTCAAATACAATCCAAGTTAAGACTGTATAACCAAGCTTGTTACCAAACAAT